GTGTCTTGTTGATGGAAAGGTCCAATCAATTAAATCATTAAAACAATTGTGTTTGCATGCTAGCTCATATATCAATGTACCATATTTTTTCAAGTAGCTAACGTCATCTGCATTTTCCAAAACAATCTTCATCAAATCCAATGAATATGTAATATGTAAATCATCAGTTTTTGATTTAGATTGTTCTATATATTTTAAAAAGTTTAATATTACATCTAAGTTGTCGCCCATAGTTAAGACATTCACAACAGCACATTTGCCAATTGTAGATTGAGTTAGCAAAAACATATCATGAAGAAAATCAACAGATTCCATTTGATCTAATTTGAAATTATGCATTAAATTGCATTCCCAAAAATAGCTCAAATAATCCACAAGAGTTAAGACTTTTACTTTGTAAATAAGTGTTAATTTGAACTGAGAATTAACTTTATCCAGAACATTGATCAACCCATTTAACTCTTTATGCCTGCAGCCCAAATATCTGAGTCCATGATCACAGTTCATTAAACTTTTTAAAAGTTTAAGTATATTTTCCTTGAGATAATCCTTGTCATTTAACTTGTCCAGTAGTTTTGTTAAACTGCTAATCAGCGATAAATCATCAAATAGTCTATAAATAGTTGGGTAAACATCAAAATGAGTTAACGCTGGAGTAAGCTCGAACTGTGCATGAGCTTGTAAAAACCTTTTAGGACAACCCATTAAAATCGGAGCTTTCATATATGTGGTAGTTATTTCTGCCAAACATTCTTGCAATAACAATTCTTGATTAGAATCCAAAGTTTTTATATCCGTACTCATCTTTTTAAGCAATTCATAAAAATGAATTTTCCTTAAAATACTAGTTATTAAAAAACATACTCTAGGCCTCTGGTGTATTGACAATATTTTAAGTAAGGTTTCATTTCCATTCAGGTTATCAAAAACTTCATTGCATAGAAATAGTCGTATAGGTTCTAAGCCATTAAGACTAGAATCTAATGCACGCAATATGTTTAACTTAAGAGACAAACTCATATGTTCGACGAAAAATAGATTAATTAATTTATTGTGAATTTGATGGTGTTTGATTAGATGCTCAGATAAATCTTCATTGTAATGGCTAAGTGCTTCAATCAATTGTATACCAATTTTCAAACGACGAAGAATTAATGTCGACATTGAAACATGTTCCTTTGAAGCAGACTCAAAATCAAGTGTTACATTCACCAAAGAAAATAACTTATGACAATATTCTGAAAAATAAGATGTATTTTATTATAATGAATAAATTATTTTATTAATTGTTGTAATTAATATAACATTGGTTTCATACCAGGAATATTTAGAATGTGACTTAACGTTTTGGGCAAAATGATAATAGTTCGCTCAGCAGTACTAATCCATTTTTCATTGATATCCATAATTTTAGATTGTAAATACTCCAAAGAATCCATGAGTTCAGCTACTTCGCCACATTTAGAATCATCGCCTAGTTTTCTATGTATATATTCAAATAATGATAAAGATGGATCTTGGATAATCTATGAAAAACAAAAAAATATTACAAAATTATAGTATATACGATACTGAAATAAAACAAAAACAAATACTTCACTTACTCGCAGTGGTGTGGCTTGGAAAAGCGATGGGTCAAAATTTGTAGCTATATCATCAAAGTATTCAATACAATTTTCACCATCATTATCACTAGCCTAAAGTACAATACTAATTGAGTACAGTGACATCATGACAATTATTTATAAATTTATAGTTGAGAACAGTACCAGAACACCATCTTCTTCGCTATCCATTGCAATATCGTCATCACTACTTATAGCTTCCAACACCATTTCTCTATTTTTTTCGATTGGTATGTCTATATTATTAGTTTCTTTTTCATTTGTTTCGGTTGTTTTGCTGGTGTCATTTCGCACATCTAAAAAGCAACAATTCGTTAAAAAATTCACATTAATTTAACAAACTGCATCAAATTCAAGCCTATGATAGTTTAGTACTTCCATTCCTATATTATTTTGTAAAAACAATTATCTTACCGTCTTTGGTGGGTGATTCAGGTACTTCACTACAGTCGGTCATACATTGTTGTGCAACGGCATTGACATTGTCACAGGGTTCAGTGATTTCTTGGCTTTGTAATAAGCTTTCATTTTTGACCATTGTAGAAGTGTCGCCAATGATTTTGAGTTTCTTGGACAATTCGTTTTCATATTCATCAGACTGGGAATGCGAATCCAACAAGAAATCGTCGGGTTCCCGGTCATTATCCTCACCACAATATGTTCTCTTCATTTTGCCATTTGAAAACGCTAATGGTGTCGACTACAATATAGTAAAACAATAAGTAGAGACTTGAGACTGACTTTTAAGTTCTGAACGAATACTGTATTCTTGTAGACCGTAATTTCTGTCATCATCAATGGACTCAGACATCGGTGTACCTATTAGCAAATAGTTAATACCTACTATAAACATTTAACGACGAAAACACGGGAAGCTAGCATGATTAGTAATAATTATGTTATAGAAATTAGAAACTGGCAATTGGCAACTGGCTAACTATTTCTTATCAAAATATCGATGTTATCATTACAATAATATTTCCCCTCGATAGTGCTATAATAGTTGCCTATTTACTCCTTAAGATAAACATAAGCAATAATATTATTGTTGTAATATAGCAAAATAATATTATGTATTATAGGCAAATTTGAAATTACAATAATTACATACGCTCTTAGAGTGCAAGGTTCAACGATAAACATAATATTATTTCGTTCGTCACTATTTTACAATATTCAAGAGCGTCCACTGGGCACTGACCTGTATTAATTGTTGTTTATAGTATCAGAATTAAATATAATAGAAAAAAATTCTTTGATTTTCAAGGGTATACCTACATTTATACAAAAATTACCCATGATAACAATTTATGGCATTATTTTTATTATAATATTTTGTTATAGCTACACGCCACACGGTAATTACTAAGTAGGAGTAGAGTATAATATGTGTACACATTTATATTACATTTTTTTTCTGTGGGCTTTTTTTCGAAAGTATATATACCTCAGTACTTTGTTAATCTATTTTTCAGTTTCACATAAATTTACAATACACGTTTAAATAAAACTATATTACAGAGCTGCAATTATTTGGAGTATGAAGGATTTAAGCATTATAAAAAGGATCAGTTCAGTGAACTTTAAAGATCCGATTACCAACCCGCAGAAGGCATGTGGAGACATGCAAAAGCTTCACTGTCACAACACTCTCATAAAAAAATATTTCTATTTTGGTACATTGTAAAATTTATGTTTTAAACATATGGTACCAGTTAAAGTGAAATCAGAAATTACCTATCGACTAGTGACACGGCACGCAACGGCAGAAAGTACAAACTACAAAATACAGGCACCTCACGTCCGCACCGACCGGTCTACGCTCTTAATGAGATTATTAATAAGATCATAAACAAACGTATTATCAGTTAATTTCCGTCTAAGTGAAAGAGAAACAAGGCCAATATAATCTTGAGTTAGATGGAGAGAGTCCCTATAGAATATAGATAATGGAATATTCGACAAGTATGAAATCCTTTTTAAAAATGTATATTGTACATTGTTCAAATCATTTATACATGTCAAGTATTTGCATGACCAGATTACGGAGCCGAAATCAAGATTGGATCTAACTAAAGATGCATACAAGGTTTTTAAGCATAACGGTTTTTTAAAATCTTTAGTATTTCTATTAATAAAGCCTAACATCTTAAACGATTTATTAATTAGGTATCATATTATGGTTCGTTTTAAAAGAAAGATCACTTTCAAAATAAATACCAAGATCATTAATTACATTTACTCTAGTGAGAGAACACAATTCAATATTATAGTTAAAAAAGATAGGATTTTTTTTACGTGTAAATGTTATCGTATGACATTTATCAATATTTAATGGTAATAAATTTAATTTACTCCATAAATGAAATTTATTAAGATTATGTTGAAGAGATTCAGCATCACTTAAAGAATTAACTGTACCTAAAGAAAATCTTCGCATCATCCGCAAATAATAAAATGTTTATAGAACCATCAAGGACTAGTGGGAGATCATTAATAAAAATTAAAAATAGTAAAGGACCTAAATGGCTGCCCTGAAGAACACCTGATAAGACAGGATAATCATCAGAAACATAAGACATAATTTTGACTACTTGAGTACGATCAGAAAGATACGAAAATAACCATTGTAAAAAGTTCCCACCTATACCAAGAATTTTTAATTTATGATATAGTAATATATTATTCACCTTATCAAACGCCTTTTGAAAGTCCGTATAAATAGTATCTACTTGGAAGCCTTGATCAAGTCAAGAGCTTTTACAAGATAATTATGATATAATAATAAATTAGTTTGAATCGAATGTTTTGGTACAAATCCATGTTGAGAAAAGCTTATATTATTACACAATAAATTTGATAATTTTTTAGGGATAATGGCTTCAAACATTTTTGGCAAAATTGACATTTTCGAAACTGGCCTATAGTTTTTCTCATTTTGTTTGTCACCTGATTTATGTATGCGAGAAATGAAAGATTTTTTCCAACAAAGAGGAAAAGTTCCACCGGATAGAGACAAATAAAATAAATAATGTTAAGGTTTAACGAGAGTTTTACAACACATTTTCAAAAAAATTGTAGGAATTCCATCGGGCCCAATACTTGCCTTTTGTGAACCAATAAAATCTATAATTTCGTATTCATAAATAATAAATGAATTAAAATTAAAATTAAAATTAGGAAATTGATTTTAAAATAAATGATTATTATAACCATCTATAACATTAGTTGTGTATACTGATGAAAAATATTTAGCAAATAACTTACTTAATGGTATCATCTTCAATTTTTTGTTCAAGAGCTGATAGCAGGGTACATTTCGTAAGCAGCTGATAAAAATTGAGCATATTAATATAGGACAATATTAAATTCTTTATATAAATATCAGTTGGTTTTAGTAAAACTGTTAAATTAAAAATATATTTTTTTAAATAATTTGATTCATTATAGTTCTTGCTTTGCTTAAATTGACAAAAATCCCTTCACCCCCATATCATGAATCCAAATGAAACGACCAAGATTTTCAAGAAAGAAATTGGAGTGTATCGGTACCTATCGGGTCAATTTTGGGCGTTCAAGATGTTACACGTGCAATGTACAAGCGATACGTACCGACCCGTATCGGACTCGGACTTCGATACGAGGTGGTATGTAACTATTCCGTATCGAATTTTTCTACTTGAAAATCTTGAACTGTTTGTACAAACAAATAACAATATATAAATAACTCTCAGCTGTTATTGAGTAATATCAGATTATACAATGAAAATATAATTTTTACTTTTATATATTCTGTGGTAACATTGATTGAAAATCACTGAACACAAAAAATAATTTACAGCTTAGTTGCAAAAAATAGTCAATATGAATCTTCCACTTTAACAGGAAATCAACAAATAATCCTATAGAATTTACTCTTTCAATATTTAAGTAAGTACAAACGTACGGTTAATATAATTATTTTTTCAGATAAAAGGTATAATATCCACATAAATTCTGTTTCAATACTTGGATTACTATTAAATATTAACACATATAATATAAGCTACATGATCAGTTAGACAAAAAATAGCTAGAAATTATTCAATAGTTAATTTTTTTTTAATCTTTTAGCAAGTAAGTATGAAACTGATATTATCATATTTTGTACGTTAATATAATACTAGGTTTAAGCTTTTAATTTAAGCCGTCACTTATAATTTTGAAAGTTGAAAATAAATATCAAATATTAGATACAAATTGTATTAATGTATGATTTATGATATTATTGCTTAGTGGGAGAACCCTTAAAATAAATCGTAGACATATTTACAATTTAATTTTTAAATTTACAGTATACAACAGTTGGTGAGTCAATTGAGCCAGACAGCAGACCATTAATAAATGTCAGGTTTGCATGATAACAATCAGCTAGCAAGGAAAGATTAGGCTGGCTTGCAATAGGCATTCATTATCATTGATAAATTATATTGAGCTTTACAAAAATGCATATTATATATGTAAATTACATTAATTACTTTAATACATTTTAAAAGTATTTAAATACAAAAACTAAGCCTAATCATTCCATCATTCCATATCATTTTTTTTTGCACTTTTAATACTTGGAAGTGCTGTGAAACTGAGGCAGTATCGATACTGTGGAACCCATTTATTAAGCATTTGAAATAGCAAATAGTCTTGTCTTTGAGCCATTGCATGATAAGGATCATCTCTCTAAAAATATATTAAATTACATCAATTATTAAATAATAAAATATCAACCAAAAGTGGGCTGATATCATTCATTTTTTAAGTAAAATATTTAGTTCTCAGTTACATCTAAAATTCAACATTTATCTACAATGTCATACAATAGTTTTTAGAAATACAGTTTTGTTTATCTGCAGTACTTACAGAGTAATAAAATAAATTGTTTGAGTATATTTTTTTAATATTGAATAATACTTCGGAGAAGGATTTATAGTAATTGTTCTTGGATAATAATCGTTTTTTTACAGAGTTTAATGATATTGGAGCACTAATAGCTTTATAATAATGGGGATCCTAAAAATTACATAAAAATAACAAATTATTTTTTTGATAGAAATATTCAATATCTTGTCAAAGTTTTTATAATAATATATAGTATATAGGAAATAAAAACTTACGCTGTATTTAAATGGAAGTTCTATAAACTGGAAACTATTTTTCTCATCGCAAATCAACTCTAATAATATGCGTGATGCCATAATCATCTCGTTGTTATCGAGACGGCTTTCAGTGGGAATACTAGTTCTTTCGCGCATGACTTTAGATATATGATCTATGTCAATGCACATTGTACACGTCCAAGATTTATAGGACATCCTGAAAAATGGGAAATGCATTATAATGTACGCCAAGAGTAAAAGATACCTATATGAAAATAAGATAAAAATAAATTAATACAAATCTGTATAGGCCATAGTTGTAGGAAGCGGAGGAATATGGCAATTATTGTGATAGCACCTTCTACAAGCAGAACAACATATTAACTGGTGATCCCAACCAGTACATCCCGAACACTTCTTATATCCTTGCCGATCAAAATCATTATCATCATCGCTGGAAGAACTTGATTTTTCATAATTCATTCTAAATGTTTTCATAAATCGTCTAAGAGGATAAACAATCAGGTAAATTAGCATGTTTAAAATTAAAATTTATAGTATACAACATTTACAATGATATACGTGTTCATAACTTTCCAGTTTCACAATTTATTGTTATTCATTAGGACAGGTTGTTACTATTGATGAATAATTGAAATATGACAATTCATAATTAATTTTAATTATTACATACAATATACAAGTAGGTATGTAAAATGTTAATCCATAGGTAGGTATGAGAGAAAATACAATGTTACAATGTGGTTTAATCCTTTAATACTAAAGCCTACTTACGCATGCATTTGTTTGTGGTTAAATGACATTGTATTGTCAGTACAGAAAAACAGGTGTCGACAAAAATTAGTGCAGTGCCCTTAATAACTAGGAATTCAGTTCTGAGTTCTTAAATTCCAGTTATTATTAATGTGAAAATTTTTGTTATAAATTATAACTTATGACACATTAATGTGGTATTGTCGTGGACAGTCTGGAGAACAACCACAGATCAGTTGTATACTACCTTCTACCTAGCGAGCAATAAGTTTGAGCGTGATTTTGAGCAAACACTTTAAACGACAATACGCGAAACTGAAACTCGAAGAACATTTTATTATTATAACAAGAATCCTAGATGGCCGATAACCATAGATAATTAAGATCTTTATTATATTTATATCTTTTTCTATTTATATATTTTTATCTTTATTACATTATTATAAAGATCTTTATTATTATCTATGCCGATAACAGACAATAAAGCACAAATCACATTATATATATATATAATGTGATATTAATATAACTTATGATATATCCTAAATCCTAATAACCATTATTTATTTATATTGTAAATTGTAATGACCAATTTGAACCCGTTTTGTAATTCTGTATACATCACGTGACGCATAAACCGACAGCTGCATTTTTACAATGTTTATATATACTCCTTGATGTTCAACCACAGAATATGTGAAATCCAGTGTTGCCTGGTTAAGGATAACAATGTAGAGAAGATAAGGTGATCCCCATTCATGATAGACCAATTATTTACTCAATGGATAGACCTATAAATAAATTAACTAGTTAATACATTGATTAAATATACAAGTATATAAGCATATAAGTATATATTTTAATCAATGGTTAATAGTTCTATTGAGGTACCACTCGTAAAGACCTTTTTATTTTTCTGAGTGACATCACTGCATGGTAGCCGGACCACAGATTATATACAATTATAACCAGAATAATATGGTGCACTCCACAGATATATAGAATAAATTTATAAGTTTATTCTATATATCTGTGGTGCACTCTTAGTCCTTAGATCTTATATGTAAATGTATATGATCTAAGGGTGCACTTCTTCAATTTACAACTGATAACACGAACCTACCTCAAATCAGTAGGGCCATATAAGAGAAATAAATTAATGTATAACATCTTTTACTATAATTTTTATTGTATCAAATGATATTAATAAATAATATCATGTATTAAATCATGTGTATTATGAGCGTCAACGCTAATGGAATTCCAAAATCATCTAAAATATTGTGTAACTTTAATTTAATATATGGATTAATCAGTTGTAATCTTTGGGCCTATTTTTCTTCTATCTACCTATTCTACCTATATTTTCTAATTTCTTGAACTACATTACAGATAATCTTACTTACATTCAAATACTTTCAAATATTTAATAAATACTTTTTTTCTGTATATTATTCCAGAATACTAAGTACTTTTTTTCTCTTTTTCTATATTATTAATACGTCAAGAAGACAGTAGTGACTCTTTTACACGTTTTAAAAATATTTTCTTGTGTTATATCTCAAAGACAAGGAGGAAATACACTATTTTAAAAATAAAAACAAATTTAGGTTCACAGCAGGGGTGTTTCTAGTATATTATAATATTTTTAACAAATTCAATAGTAAAAAGATAGATAAATATATAAGATTATAGGTAATACAACTGAAAAAATCACAAAATAGGCTATTATTAATATATAGGTACATTGTATATGTTACATACTTACATGCATAAATCCTAATATATAAGTGAGTAACCTTAGCATATTTTGTATTAATTTTAAACGGATGTAGAATTAGCAGACTATTTTAATATATAACACTAAAATATTAAAAATTAAAATCAATAAACAACTATTACAGGTTTTTATTTTTCACTTACATTTTTCGTTTACTGGAAATCTATAACAATTTTATACTATTTCAGTGGTTGAAAAATGAATTTAAAAATTTGTGAAAAAAAACAATAGTATACGCATCTAGGCGTTATTAACAAAATATGACCACTCAGCTTTATCTGAATGTATTAGCAGAATTTACATTCTTTATTTGAGTTATATAATCGGAATTAATAAAAATTATATTTTTAATATTAAATTAAATAAAATACAGATAATACTGTCTTTACTTTATATGTAGTATATTATATATACTATATTAAAGTCTCAAATCTAAAGATTATTATACCATTCTTCTCATTCGCTATTAATAAGTATTATTTATTATTTTTCCTAACATTCTTAGAGTTCTTAGTAAATATTTTGGTATGCATATTTTTTAATAACCTTAAGAGGCAGTATACGTCGTCTTCGCCTTAAAATGAGCAATTTAGAAAATGTATGTTGTATTTTTACAATTTAAGGGAGTAAGCATTTTGAAATTACAATATTTAGGTACTCATAACCCTCTTAAAAATTCAAATATCATAAAAAAATGACGTATATAAGCTACAAACACAGATATCATTTTTATCTTCAACTTTTAAGTTTCATAATAGTAACAATTCACTGTACTTTTAAAGCTATAACAACACTATATTATACATTGTTTCTATAGTGAACGCATAGTATTTTCTGTGTAATATGAATACGTTTATAGAAAAGACAAGATTAAACTTACCTTTAGTACCTGAAATTATTAAAATAACTCACGGGGAAAAAATTATTTCTGAAAATCTTTGTTAACGCGCTCCGATTCAAAATATTGAAGCTAATAGTAGAACTTGTATAATTTGTGTATTTACTATTTATACTATTTAAATGCCCACCCTAAATCCTCAGTAATTATTGCTAAACATACTACATGGTTGGCCACGCATGGGTGCAGAAATCTAAACTTGACACAACTTTAAAATTTGTCATTCATTTTGTAGGTAACCTATTTTTCTTACAGATTCGAAAATAATTAAATTTATACCTAAGTTAATTTAAACTTAATTAATTTTTTTTATTCATTAATTTTTAACTTAACTAAGTTATAAAAAATACTATAGTTAACTTTTAACTTAACTTATTTTTTCTTATATTATCTTAACTTAACGAGTTAAAAAAATAGTTAACTTGCCTAGCCTTGCCTGTATGTATATTGTATATAGACTATATGGTTACTGTGTTTATATAAAATAGTACTCTGAAAGCCTGAACTCCGTTGTAATGGACATTTCGGTCATTTTTTGTATGAGTGTGTATTATGAATTGTGATAAAACGTGTTTTTAAGTTTTAACGCATACAATCTTATATTATACATAAATGGATAGCAAAATAATGTGTGCTATGAAATAAAAACAATATTGATAACAATTATTGTTCATTGTATTTAATGAATGGATACGATTATAAGAGTTATCACGTTGACAACGTCTCTGTGTTAAGTATAGTAATTTTTTTTTTTACTATATTAGAAATATTTACTATTTACAAACTATATAATATAATAAATACAAAAACAAATAAATTTGATAAAAATTGAAACTTGAAAGTATAGTTATTAAAATAACACGAAATGACATGATTAGTAAATATGTATTGAGTACATGATGCCATGGTGTCATAGTGCGTGTATTGTTTGAAAACAAACATTTTTTTTTCGAAGCTTAACATAATCATGAAATCAGGAAATATAATTTACCTACTGGCTCTAAAGCCTATAACCTACATGCACTAAGTATCTCAATTTTATAGCTTCAAATTTTAAAAGAAGCCTAAATTATTTTTTAATTAAAATTGTGATTATAATTCTAATGATGTATCTACCTTTAATACAATAATAACTATAACTAATTAGAACACATTAAGCATTAAAATATTAAACGGTATCAATGCATTTTTGTTTTAATATTTTAAAATAATCACAAAAAGAATAAAACTAAGTACCAACATATAACAATTTTTATTTTTGGCGTTAATATTAATATAGGTATTAGTGTATCACATAATATTTGCAGTGGTGTTCACAGTGATGGTAGGAGGGTTGGTTATAAGTTATAAGTTATAACCCTCCTCCTACAATTAATATTTTTTAATTTATTATATTCTATAACCATGAAATTTATCAACACAATCATTAATAACGTATTCAAGTAAAAATAAATTTGTTAAAAATAAACGACTACTGCAGTTACACCAGACATGAAACATACATAAATATTTACGGATACCAATAATTTGTTTTGCAATGACTCACTGTTGTTCACTCACAAAACAGACTTCAACTATAAAAAGTTCACAGTTCACATACATTGAACTGTAGCTTACAAACAAATCAACAGAGGTGTCAAACAACTCCGAAATTATTTAGATATTAGAATATAAGGAATCATATAGTATTCATGGAAAACATACCTAAAGTTGTGATTAGTTTAAACTTTAAAAAATAATGCGTTATATATATAACCATATGGTATATAATCTATATATAGTACATTAGTACCTATAAATTATAATACAGTGTTTCCCAACCAGTGGTCCGTGGGCCAGTCATATGTGGTCCGCGGTACCATGGATTTTTTTTTTTTTTTTAAATAGCGAAAAACATTACATTTCTTTAGTATCTTCGAACAAATTGACGAATATTTCCCGTATTGTCAAACAGTAGAAACCGTTCATAATAACACCAGTTGTTGTGACCTTAGATTGAAGGTCCCGATTAAACTTCTATACTATAATATTATTACTTACCAATTGGCAATTTGTATTGATTATTATGACGTCTGTATAATGACTATTCGGATGTTGTAATGGTTTTTTTTTGGTTATATTGGAAAATCTTTTATTCATACTGACCGTATTAAACTTTTATAGTCTTATCGTAGGCAATATAACAACCGATAATACTAAACACTCAAAACAAATTTTAAAGAAATTTAAAAAGAAATACTGCATCATTTTTTATACAGAGTACAAACTAATATAATAGATTTTTAATACATTGTAAATTTAATTTTAAAATAATACAACAACTGTTTTTATTTATTTTTTTGTGTTCATGTGATATGTGTTGAAGTGGAAATTTAGTGATACAAATATGAACCATTGATTGTATAATATAATATTATGTATATTAAGTATACCATTATGTTCTTAAAGTTTGTTTTATCATTTTGGTCATGATGACAATGTATTGTAATTTGTAACTATAATTTAGTAGTACTTATATATGTATTATACCTAGACACCTAGTACATCAAAAAATGTCTGTTTAGAGTTTTGCCGGTAAACACCAAGGTTTATAGATAATACTATAATATACTATAATACTATAATACTATAATACTATAATAATATAGTATTATCTATAAACCTTGGGTAAACACTACTATACGTCACAATCGTTCTATGGTAACGCGATTGGTCCACAGCCGCTCCCCACTCATTACGATACATTTACTTTACCTAAGCCCACAACGGCGACGGAGAGCTATAGTCCATGGTAATCGTTCATCGTTCGGCGGTTTGTAACGTTTTGGTTCTTGTAAAAGTGGCGTATTATACACTGTGACGGTCCAACGAGACCCTGCACACGCGTATATATACGATGGCCATTACTGCAACAAATTCGCAGCTTTTAAAAATGATGAGGTTTGGGTGGGACGTGGTGTGCCGGGTTTTGGCGTCTCTAATCGCCGTGCTGATGGGCGCAGTGGCCGCCCCGGCCGTCGCGTGGAACAGGACTGCCCGCGCGGATGAGCCCGCCGCCGTACCACTTAGCGTGAATTACCATTTTACGCGCCAGTGCAATTACAGCTGCGGATTTTGTTTCCACACGGCCAAGACGTCGTTCGTGCTGCCGCTGGACGAGGCGAAGCGCGGGCTGACCATGCTGGCGAAAGCCGGCATGAAAAAGCTAAACTTTTCGGGCGGCGAGCCGTTCATCCGGGACGGCGGCCGCTTCATGGGCGAACTGATTAAATACTGCAAGACGGAGCTGAGTTGGGCAGGAATCAGCATATCCATTGTCAGCAATGGTAGCCTTATTCAGGAGAAGTGGATGAGGCAATACGGCGAGCACGTGGACATGCTGGCCGTGTCATGCGACTCGTTCGACGCTGACACGAACCGGTCGATTGGCCGGCAGCAGGGCACTCGGACCGATCACGTGGCAAAGCTGTACCAGGTACGTGAGTGGTGCGGAAAGCACAAGATCGCGTTCAAGATCAATACGGTGGTCAACACGTTTAATGTGAACGAACTGTTCGCCGAGCACATCGAACGATTACGGCCGGTCCGGTGGAAGGTGTTCCAGTGCCTATTGCTGGAGGGCGAGAACGCGGGCGAGGGAGCGTTGCGTAACGCCGCCCGGTTCTACGTCACCGACGAACAGTTCGAAGGGTTCCTACGCCGGCACGCTGAAGTCAAGGTGCTAGTGCCCGAGACCAACGACGCGATGCGGGACAGTTATCTGATCCTGGACGAATATATGCGGTTCCTCAACTGTCGCAACGGCAAGAAGGAACCGTCTGCGTCCCTGCTGGACGTTGGCGTCCAGCACGCGCTCCGCAGATCCGGTTTCGACGAACAAGCGTTCCTGGAGAGGGGCGGCGTGTACCTTTGGAGTAAGCAGCAGCTATCCAGTGCCGAATTGGAATGGTGAAGGGCCAAGCATTGTTTGCTTTCAAAGCGGCACTTCTTCATTTCTTGCTGAAATATTATTATTATACTTAATGCATTTATATTATGGTAAGCACTATCGCGAAACTAGGTACCTTATACTTAGTTTTATATTTTGTGTGGTATTATTTTTCAAGCTACAATCGGTCGATATTTAAATTATCTGAAAAATGTTCACTTGGACGATTTTTTAAAAATTGTTAGGTATTAAGCCCAATTAAACACAGCTCAATTAATATACAAGCCGATTTTCACAAAATAAGTAATAAGTAATAACTATTAACGGAATGAGGTATTGATAAAGGAATACAATTCAAATTTATAATATGCAATGGCAAATGTGGCTAAATAATAATAATACAATTTAAAATAGTTTTATTCCAAAGAAAATCGACCGAATCTTGCACCTTGCACAATCTCTTGATCTAGCCTTGAATTGAATAATTATTTTTAGCTTTGCGTCTACTTAAATAACAAACTTCATATTGCTCTCTGCCTGTCTTGCTAGGTATAAACTAAAAAGTAGATTTAGGTACTATTTAGGCTTTAGCCTTTTATTTTGTCATGTACTCCACTCGTGTAAGCGAACATAGATCAGAGTATGGTCATCAGAGATGAATACTGCACTCGCTCCCGCTCTATGCGAATACGATGGCGTGTCCAAACTTTAGAGCTGGATTTAGGTATGTGGTGATCTGGGCCAAAATTACTGTGTATGCAACAAACAAATAAACATTACAAACATTTTTGACTTAAATAATATTTAATATTGTATATTACTGTGGCGGATTAAACAATTTGTCGTTTCCGCCAAAAGTATACTCTTTCTCGTTCGCGCCAAATCATAAATATTTTACGATTTATTTTATTTTTATGTTAAAAAATAAAATTTTTATTTTTGCTCATGATGATTGTTGCAGCGTGTTCTTACCACAAAATAATAAATATCAAAAATATACAGGTTATAGTCACTTTGTTTTAACAAGCTTATACCTATTAAAAGTTCTAACTTCGACATAATTCAACAAGGTTAAATATTTTTTCGTAATCCGTATTATGATAATATATTGAAACAAATTACAAATAACAATTATTATATATTGTGTAGTATAGGTACAATAGGTACATCGGTTCGGCATACATACGTTAGAAAAATAGTCCATAAACTCACGTAATTATTACGATTATGAATTTAAATATTTAAGAGGACGTTGCACCCGCATATTGTGTTGACTCCATCTTACAAAGTTACAAACATACAACATAGCAAAAACTGTTAAAACTGTTCTTAAAGGGATATAACCACTTGTACGTCCAGCAATTTTTAATATTTTAATTTTCCAATATTATACCGTTAAATTGTATATAATGTATTATTAAAATTAGTATATTATATTACAAAATCAATGGTACAACTGAGAATGTAATACAAAAATAAAACTCAAGCTGCCCTCGACGACACTTCAACCGGTGGCGTCATTAGTCATTACTCGCATTAGTCTAATAATATGCTATTAGTAAATACGCGATGCGTCCACTAATGCTTTTAGGTAAAATACACCAAAACATTGTAATAGTGTAAGTGTAACTAATATGTTGTTATTTAAGTACTTGAATATCAGATGCTTGTTTTTTATTTAATAAAAAAAATATTTTTACATGTGAACACAATGGTTATTAATATTTTTTCAGCATTATCCATGGGTTATCCAGCCACCAGTGAATGAATTTCATTTATAATTTTTCGTTATATCTAATATCAATGCATATTATCTATGCATATAATGTGTAATGTGTAGGCAGTAGGCTTGAGCGTTGTACAGCTATTATTTGTTATCTCGACCAAAATTGTTTTTATAATGATTTCCATTCTCATTTTAAATGTCTAATTTTGGTTTGCGACGAAATGGAATAAAAATAAAAATTCCTTACAACAGAACAACACGAACGGTTGTACCTCTTGGTTTTTACAGCACAAAAAATGCGTAGCTGCATGCTTAATGTATTAAATAAACAGTATACTTGTCTGATAGAAAACTACTACATTATAATGATAAAAGACATCAATACATAATGGCATAATACATAGTCGCATAGGTACTTGTATTGTAACACGACCAATTGTTATTGTTTATTAGATTTAATATCTTGCACCTGCTTTACATGCTGACAGGGAGGGAGGGAGTGGGTTGACTGAATGTTTTTGACCCTCCCTCATACATGACGTATTGAGGCATTGAGCCTGTGGCTCGTGTATGGTAATTTGGTATATCACCGTATCAGTATTCATTATTTCGTTATTCAGTTGCCAGTAGGTACATCATAATATTGTTATCTTTAGGTAAGTATTTCACTATTTCAGTCGTGGGTTGTATCCTTGTATTGCATGTTAATAACTGTATCGCCTGGTATCACCTGTCAGTATAGTGCATTGAAAACAAAAGTATTCTTTAAAACTAAATAGAACTAGAACTTGGAAAATCAATATTATTTTAAAAGTTAAAAGTTTCCATATGCGTTAATGCGACAAGAATGGTAGGGTAACGTAAAACGTTTGCACAATGGTACTTAGTATTTTGGTGTAGAGAAAGTACTTATATACAACTAGAATTCGCCAAAATCTGACTTAGACTTATTTTTTTCTTTTGCGTTTGAAAACTATTGTGAATTTTTTACTTTTCTCCCTTTTCAGTACCAACTAGATTCACTTTCCTCTCAGTAAAGATGCTTTTGAAAAACACTGAAGCATTTTTACAGTCCTAAAAAGTGATGATAGGCCGAAAAAACACATCGTTGTAAAATCAATATTCATCGCTCAGCTCAAAATTTAAAAATCTAAACTTGTTAGACGTTTAAAATGGTTTAATTATGGATTAAATTATTAGATGAATATGATAATTGAGGTAACTGAAACAAAATTACCGAGGTTAGAAATTTTTTTATAGAATTTGTCAATTTGATAACTTGACAGATATTAACAATTTTTATGATACAGTGGTTTTAGAGAAATAACCTTGTTATAGGTATATGCATTGGAACTGGTACCACATCATTTGCCAATATTAGACGGACTTAAATGTAGTTTTCTACGTGTCAACTCTTAAGTACAATATGGCGCATAATATGATTTTATACGTATATATATATTTATGGACAAAAAATTAATTACTATACATTTTTAAATGTGTAATAAGAGCCAAGCCCGGATTAACACTATACCGTAGGCCCTAGACCCATATACTAATACGGTCTTGTAGTGTTCAGAATTTAAATGATTAAGAAACCTAATGTTTGGGAGAGGTAGTGTTCAATCTCAGTGTTTTAAGTCTTTAAAAACGAAAATATTTACAACATTAAAATCAACATAATATTTTAAATTTTAAGCACATAATAAGTTCTATTCTTGTTACATAGTTATGTCTTATGTCATTGTTACTTAATATTACCATTGGAATTTGGAATATTATAAGTTTAAAAACAAGTGTAACTCTCATATAACTGGTGTCTCCCAATAAGCTGCGAAACAGAGGACTAAATTTAATTTTAAAAAAACGTAATAATAATATTGCGTGTGTGAAATGTTGCAACCCAGAAAGTTCACAAAATCGAAAATACACTCTCGAAGGTTTCGAATAATAATAACCAAAAAATTGTTTTTACTATTCGAAAACTGGTTTTGCGTAAGAATTCCCCTTTTCCTTTATTTTTTGTTTCTTTTTCCTGTTGCTTTTGAAAACTATTAAGGATTTCAAATTTTGACCTCCCGAGTGCACAAACTAAATTCACCTTAAAACAGAACCTTATTAATGCATATAATTTGGAATAATGATGGTGTTATGTTTGACGCTTGTACTTATACAATATAATTTATCCACAAAATCTTTTAAAACAGACTGGTGGATATGACACGCTAACATTGATAAAGTATAGCATACATTAATCGTGATGTACACCACATAAATGCATGAATACATACGCATACAAAAAAAATTAATTCAAATCGGTCCAACCGTTTAGGAGGAGTTCAGTGACATGTACAATATGTACAGTAGAATTATATATATAAAGATATCATATTTTTGTATATGTAGTATGTAGACACTCAAAATTAATCCATAAAAAGGTGAAACCAATGATGTTATGATTATTATTGTTATATTATTAATAATTAATAATTTAAATTTTCCCTCTAAAAGTGCAAGCCAATCGGAGAGTCGGATCAATCATGGATTTTATTTTGTATGCGAATTTTTCTAGTAATTTATATACCGAGACAACAACTAGGTAACCACCATATGATATAACCGCTCTTATCATTTTCGGACAAGTGCTTATCACTCGTGTCATTTAGATCTTAAGAATATTCTAGTTCACCCAATCAAGTTCACAAATTGGTCGCTATTTTATCATTTACTTTTTTTTATCTTCGGCTGTTATTATTTTAATTTGTAGGTGTAGGTCGTAGGTGCGAGTAGCGGTGTAGCACACTAGCTCCCGATATCTAAATCGAATATTCGAATTCCAGATCCGCCCGCCCGTGCCGGTCTATCATTATTTTCCTCGGCGGTACGAACGACAAAATGAGTAAGGTGTACAAAGAAGACGAGATCAGCGTCCGAGTGGATCGGTGCCTGTATGATTCGGTGATCAAATTCGGTAAGTAAACACACGATTGATCGACCTCTGAGAAAATCTTTTGGCTATCGTAACTGACACGTAGCTGGTACCATATTCCCTGTCGTTGCAACAGTACGACATTTAACGTTTATGAAACAACAATTCGGTAGGAAGGCCGTACTTAAAATCTACTCGTTTCAAACGAAAAATGTTATTTATTAGATCTATCTGTGAATGTTTAAAATAAATTATCAAGAAATAACTCTTAGTACTAGGTACTCGCGAGCAATGTTGTGATGACAAAATGTCTAGCCCTGCCTCAAATAGTAAAAAAATAATATAATAGTATCACATCGGTAGCTAACATAGCCAATACATTTCTAGGGCTGGCGCAATAATTGTATCAGGTAAACACCAGTCTCCATGTCGCTGTTCGTGTGATATTCAAAAACTAATTTAAATTTTGCCACAAGCATTTCATTTTACTTCACTTACTTCACTATGAATTATTGGGTGTTCTCCCCATCGCTATTTTATATCTTTATAATATGTTTTACATTTATTTATCCATTTAGACATATTGTCATGACATCTTTCTTCAATTCCTAATTCTGTAGTAAATCATATTATTATGCTTAAGCTTACGCTAATTATCCTTAAAAACATTGACGTATCGGTTTTGTAAAACATAACTAAAATTAAATTGCTAGGAAAACATCAATAGATTGTAGTTAAACTTTAATGTATCAGACATTTTACACAATCAACTGTCACTGCTAATAAATTAAAAATATTAGGTGACTACAGAATAAGTATGCTTTTGTAACATTGATTAGTATTTTAACCAAATATTATGTTATATAAACCTACGTAATACTTTAATTAACCAAATATAATAACCAACTCATTGTTAGACTGATAGATTTTATTGTAAACAATTTATAATACAGCACTTCATGTTTCAATAACAATAAATAAATAATGCAGACAAATTATCATTGTCAATGTAGTATATAATTATGAATTTAATTTATAATTCATTGATTACTTGTTTAATAGTTTTGAATAACATTTCTATATCAATAAATTAAATTTTACAACATGTCAAATATACAAAAATATCCTAGTAGTTATTTTAATTAAATTATTTAAATTATTATACTAACCAATCTTATACCAATAAAAATTCAAAAGTAACAAGTATGATAACATTTTACATAACAAGCTATTTCTGGTTTGTGACATTGTAGCTTAGATTCTAGAAAAAAACCCTGAAGTGACTGATATTGCCAAAGTATAGAGATATTGTTGAGTAATGATGATTTTTAAACATTCTAGGTGGCGGCTTGAGTGTAGGTGTTGTTGCATCCCTGTTGTTCTTCAAACGTAAGTGTATTATACATTTTTTTTAATAAAATAACTTTTGTGTACCTGACAACAATTAATATTAATGACTTATTGGGACTTAAAAGTAAGTAAAGAATTGTTATATTTTTTGAACCGGTCATTAATATTGGAGTAAATTATACTGTTAGTCATTTCTTCATATTTTCAGCTGCAGAATTACTACATAACTCAAATTATTTTATTTTAAATTTTTATTCATAATAACTGTAAAATATATTATTAAAACAATTACATATTTACAAAAACTTATGAAACAAAATAACTATTTTTAGTACAGTTGCTTAAAGCCAATTATTGTTCATCTGTTTGTTTTATCTAGGTAAGAAGTGGCCAATGATCATGGGTTCTGGTTTTGGATTGGGCTTAGCATATGAGAATTGCGAAAAAGACTTAAAGGAATACTTTACGAGTACATAATATCCTGTATGTTATTAGAGCTTAGGCAATAATACAATAGCCTTAGACTCTAGAGTCAAACAATGTGTTGTTCATACAATTTATTTTCTTTTATGTTAATTGTATTAATGTAAGTAGTATTTCTTGTTTTGATTTTTTAATTAAAAAAAATATATAAATAATAACAATGTTGGATCCAAAAGTTTGTATTTATTTGTAGAAGTCAAAATTTAAAAAGTTTTACATTTATAAATTATAATATATTATAATGTATCAATACTTAAGTATAACTCTATAGTAAAATATCAAAAAATTTGTGGCAGATAGTGAACCATCTTCAAATGCATTTTTAAATGCTTAATTTCATTGGTAAAGTAGTCACATTTATTGCATTGAAGTGGTTGATGCAAACATTTCTTGTTGGGTGGCAGTACTAAATATCCTACAGTTTGTAGTTCAGAAATTATTTCTGAAAGCAAATTACAAATTATTAATTCAACAAAAATCTTAATCATATATGATATATAGCAAAGCCTGCCAACCAGTTGATCTTTAAAGGAATATTGGTTAATGGTATTAATAAAAATAAACTAATGTTATTATACTATCGGTTGAAATTGTGAGTAATCTTATATACAATGAAAATATTAATTACCAAAGAAAAAAATACAATTTTTCGATGGAGAAATAATAAAAGAAGAATATTATGCTGCATGTAACAGTGTAAAATAATATACCTATACATGGTTACAAAAGAATAAATCAGGCGGCAACACCCACCTCCTATATAATGACATAGGTAGTGACTGGTGGGAGGAAAGAAAGCGTGAAGTACTGGTGTATTCTTATTTAAAACTGAGTATTAATGTTATGAAAAAGGTTAGGTATTTATTTTTAAGTATTGAAACACACATTTAAGTGAATATTTCTTTCAATAATTTACATTTTATAACTCAATTATAGATTTTGGTTAGTTTGATGAAAAATGGTTGGGTACCTACAAAGTGATATACAACTATACAAGGTTTGGAACATTACGTATATAAAATCATCAAAAAAGCACTAAAATAATCAAAAGCATTGGATAAAAACCACCGAAAGAAGCAAAATAAAAATATTTGGTATCATAGTATTAATATTAATATATGAAATACATTTTCATATAATTTTGCTAGATTTTATGTCTGTCCAAAAAAATAAGCAAATGCCTTAATTGAACTACTAAAACCAGTTATAATATAATTTTAACATTAAGATAATTATAAGTTTTTTTTTTCATGGATATTTTATGAAGTATAAAAACATAACAAAAAAATCATTTCAACACTAAAAATATATGTGCTGACTGCTGACCTTATAAAAACATATATAGTAACATTTTTTTAAATAATTTGGTTATAAAATAAGTGTCGCAAAAACTAATAACTAATATGGTAAATGGTTATTTCTCCCACACTAAAAATTTGAATTTAGGACTTTTCACTTCCAGGAAATACTAAGATTGGGCATTTGGTCCACACAATTGGGACATTTACTATCAAATATTATTGAAGAAATTTAAAAAAAATGATATTTAAAACCGAGGGACCAATGACGTACAACCAAAATACACCGCTCATGGACCTATGCCTAATAATTCCCAAGGACCAATTAATATCCTTAAAAGTTATGTTTCCACAGATCAAATGTTCTTAAGCTCAATTATTTGACCTAGATTCCAAACAATTAACTAAAAAATTCAATTTTTTTTTGTTTCACATTAATGTTTCTAAGTCAAGAATTTACTGAAAATTGTATTACGTAAAGATAGGCAAGACTGATGACTTGTTGTAGAGAGCCTAATCTAACCTTACCTTGTATAGGCTCTCCAGATTGTAGTAGTTGAAAGTATCGTATAGTTATCAATATAATCTACCAATCCTTATGAAAATAACAAAACTATACTGGGTGATTCATTTAACGTAGAACAAGTACTATTCAAAAGTATTAGTGCGTTTGAAAATATTTGTTTTACATGGCTTCAAGTCGTTGCAACGTATTTAACAAAAGATTATATTTTTAAAGATTTTTATCTTTAACATTTTTTAAGTTTTTTACTTTTAATTTCATATTCTGAAGATGAAAGAAGATTTTTGTAAGCATTTCAATACATAAACACAAATTAAGGAAAAGTAGTTCTGAGCTATAAGTATTTAAATTTTAGATTAGCTGAGTAGCAGAGCAACATATTATTGAGATGTACACACATTCCACCCCGCTCATCTTAACTGTAAATGCTTATAAGTTAAGTAGCTTATGAGCTAAGTTATAACTTATAAGCCACTCATTCTAATTTCAATTACTATGCATTGAAATGCTTTGGAATATGAAATTAAAACTGTATGTTGTTATTCAAAAAGTAAAAAATATAATTTTTAAATGTTGTTTTTTAATGATCAGTGTTTTGCTTATATTTACTGTGAGTAGGTATGAAGAAATCCGTGTTAAATGAATTCCACTGGTGAGACAGTTTCATGTGTGGGCCACAAAAGTCTTTACTCAACACATGCAAGTGCAATCGGTTCATTGATGTGAAACTGTGGTATCCAACTCTGTAACATTAAAATAAAACCATCATAAATCATCTTAGGAATAACACAAAAATAGGCTGAATATTTAAGTAAACAGTTTTAAAAGTGTATTGAAATTTACATATGTATTGTGAATTGTGATAGACATAATAATATATCATAGGACATTTCCTCCCAGAAATGAACAAAATATATACTTACACATAAAATATTAAAAAAACTGTTAAATTATATTATTTAATAAAATTAAAAATAAAATTGTTAGGTTGACTTGGATATCACATTTGGCTGTCAATTAATTTTTCACATTTAGTAAAAGTTGTGTGGTAACTTGTTAGCAGGGGCACAATGAGACCCACTTGGTCCACTATTATTGAAAAATAATCGGCCCTATACTATTACAAACCAAACTTTGAGACTTAGGTACTTTATTTTTTAATTTCGGTTATTCACCAATCACCATAATAAACAGGGGATAAATATTATTAAAATTAAAATTTATTTGAGGCAATATTAATTTTTTGTTATATATATATATATATATCGTTCATTAAATCATAGATAATATCTAAAGTACAATGCCCCCCCAAAAAAAATGAATGGTCGCAGCAAAATTTTTGAAATCACCAATTCAATTTAATCTAAAATATAAAAATGTACCTGTATGTTTTATATATAAATGTGCACTAAGAATTAACAAAAATTACTTGAAAATTGGAATAATTATTGCTTAAAAAACAACACAACTGATAAAAATGCAAAATAAAAGTTTAATAGTTTTAAATTCTTTGATGTACTAGTAGGAAATGGATTTTGTACTTGAAAAGTATTGCCGGGGACTTCCCAAAAAATAATGCATTTTGCTTTCAAGTACGGACCCTATGTTGTAATAACTTGTAACTTATAATCATATAAGGTTGAGTCGAGGTGGATTATTTTGTACCAGCACGTGGTACATTAAATGACACCAGCCTACTGTGCAATTACACAGTAGCAGTGACCCAGCCCGCCCCTGCTTGTTAGGCAGTAAAAATTATTGGTTTTATTAGAAGATTATGTGAGAAATTCAATTAGTCTATTGGAGATATCTCTATTTTTATAACATCAGTAGCTTTTGTTATAGCAATTATAATGCAGTATCTAAATCTTAATTTAAAATGTCTTTAATTTATTTAAAATAATATTCAATATTTAATAGCCAATTGCAGGTAAGTAATGTATTCTTTTAACAATGTGAACTAGACAATGATGATGTGAAATAGGTATATCCTAGTGAAATCATTATTAGGCAATGTATAAATCATAATAATGATAGTTAGGTATGTTAAATATTTTACAAAGTTAGTTTTAAGCTCATACTGTAGACAGGCAATAAGCATATAGAAATAACCTGCATTTTTTTTAATACCATTATTAAATAATAAAGGCTACTTACAGGTCCTAGCTTACAAAATAATATCTAAAAATCTAATTGATTATTTTTGTTTAAATTACTTTAAAGTGACTATAAAATCAATTTTGTCCACAAAGATTTCTTTGAATCTCAAACTTCTAGTGTGCGGGTATGGCAGACACTTACAGTAAATCTTGTGCAAACAGTCCGGATGTATGCATCACATACTCGAGGCCTTTTAGCTCCATATAGATGAGCTTGGGTATATGGTGCGCCTTGAGCGAGCGAACATCCAGCAAGTCTTCCTTGGGCATAACTAGATAGTGATGTTCGGACTTGCGGTACTGGTCAGCAATAATCACCACAAATTCGTCCGAGTAGAGGATGTTCGACGGGTCGTTCATGGCCAGGATCAGGTTGTTCCGCGCTTCATTGGTCATGACGGAGATGGATAATTCAAAACAAAAACGGACCACGACGGATGTTTGAAATCGATGTGAACGACGTCTTCCAGACGCGGCACGTGGTGAACAACAATGCGGATTAAGCGGTTTACTTCACGGGTCTTTAAACTTCTGTAATTCAAATTCGACGGTCGTCGTGGCCCTACACTCAACGCTCAACATCCACGATTTTCCTTCGTGAACGGGGTGCCATAATGTGGGGAATAATAATATTATTATTGTTATGTGAGTATATACTACGTCCTATATATAATACGAATTTACTACGGTATGCTCACGTTTGTAACGACATCAGAATCGACCTCTAGTGTCGGCAACAAAAACGTGTGATGGTTACTGTGAACGCGGTAACAATAACGTTATCACCCAACGAGTTCGACTATAGATAACATATTATATTCTGCGTAGATTGTCTGTATCAGATTGTGTACGGGGGACTGGGCGACTGTTGCAGTAGCTATTATAGCCTATGATATTATAGTCTATATTATTTTAGAGCTAGACGTCCGTCATTTGCTCTCCATCTGACTACTGGCCCTCTGGTCACGTAATTACTGATTGCATTGCCGAGACGATCGACTACGGTCGCCTTTCGACTTACCGAACGGGCGCTTAAAAAAATTTCCCAAACGTAACCGCCTCCACAACGATCCTACGCCACCAAGCTTGACTCGACTTTGCAGCTTTCAAAGCTTGCTCAAAGCGCATTTCTCCGGACGATGCCGTTTGGCCGTCGGGTGGTATAGCCTAAGCTCGAACATACAACTGCGCTTACCCACCTCTCTAGGTGCCAAGCAGTTGGTGAGACGGAACCTCAGACACTCTTTTCGGAAGACACATACGGCTGCGGAACTAACTGCGCCATGGCCGACAAGTGAGTAACTAGCAGTGGTAGCGGTCTTGTGTTGTATGAACATTTATGTCGCTGCTCATTGTCGGCAATCGATGATATAAGATTTCTGATATGAAAGTTGAACAATTGCTTTGAAGAACAAAGTGCATCAATTTGCAAACGATACTATTTTGTTAATATGCACCGGGGGCTCCTGCAACTATACTACATTCTAATAGTAAATTAATTTAATTAATTTGGAAGTAGATGTTGAAAATGTATAGAAGGAATGTCATATCTGTGGCATCAAATAGAATACATGATAATTATTTAAGAAAGAACCGTGTAAATACTAACCTAAAGATTTAAACTTTAGGTTAACTACTTACTTATTTTTCTAACTAATATTTCCAACCTTATTTAATTTTATTAGGTAAACATTTGTTGAATTTTATAATTTCCTAGGTATGCTTTTGAGATCACTATTTTAAATGGACCAATTATAAATCTTTCAAAGAAAATCTATTTGTTATTCAACTATGTCAAATACCTACTTTATATTTTAAATTGCATCCTAATATGTAGAAATATATTTAAACTATTGTTATTATTGATTACAGACAACCTGATGATGTTGAAAAAGTCATTGAAGAAGCCGTAGTAAATTCAGATTCAAAAGAAAATGAAGGTGGTGGGTGGTGGGATTCATTGTACTCTGCAGCAAAGTCTAAAGTATATATATTTTTTTCTCACTATTTAATGATTCCAACTAAATATATTCTTATAAAAATCAATTGCAGTCTGCTGAAGTATTGGAATCAGTTAAGCGTGATCTCGGTGAACTAACAACAATAGTCACCACCGAAACTAGCAATATTGTCTTAAACACTACAAATGTCGTTAAAGATACATTGCAAGTATGCAAATGTGTTATATATATAATTTATAATGATTTAAATTAAAAGTATTTACTATATTTTTATATATTTTAGTTGGAAAATCCAGAATCTACTGCTAATACCATGAAGAAATCAGTAAGTTCGTTTCTGGATCAAATGTCAAGTGCATTAAACCCTTTGCCAGATGATGAAGATGAGGCAATAATGATTGTTGGCTCAGACACAGTTACACTGTCTAGACTACAAGTAAAATGCTTGATTTGTTTTTATTTCAATGTTATGTCATTTATAACATCCTATTTTGGAAATTTTTAGGCGCAAATATATACTCTGGCCAATGATCAGAATACATTTATAATGGAAATTGATGACCAACTTGATAAAAGATATAAGGCTTGGTTGGATTGGGTGAAAAGTGGTGATAGTAGTTTATTATCTAATGATAAACTCACAAAGATCTTAAATGAGTGCACTCCATTACGTGACAACTATCAAAAACTTGTGCCAGATTCTGTTTCTCATGCTGACTTTTGGTATAGGTTTTTGTTTCGAAAGGCATTGTTGGAAGATGAAGATGCCAAACAGCAGAGGCGATCAGAAAAGGAAAATCGAGAAGCCGAAAGAATAGATTTCAACAAAGGTAGTTTATCATATCACAGTGAGAGTGGGCTTACATATTATTAAATTTCAATTTACAGAGTTAACTCCATTGTCTGATATAGAGCTATCTGAAAAAGAACAAGAAGAGATATTGTCGTCATATGATCAGGAACGAAGAGTATCATCAAAGTCCAGCAGTCCTATTGAAGGTTAATGTTATAGAATATTTGTAATATATGTTGTGACAAATATAGTAATATATTCTTAATAATTTTTGCAGATGTAAAAAAGGATTCAAAATCAAAACAAGAAGATGTCCCATCTAATGCTTCTTCGGTTACCACTTCAAGTTTGGACAAAGGTAATTGTTGAATGTGATGAGTGTTACTAAGTCACTAAGGTAGTAATCATTTGAAATAGCACACATTTATTTAGTTAAATCATTTGCAAAATTACAAATTGTTCCAATGAATAAATAAATGACTAATTAAGTACTAAATAAGTCTTTATAATGCAAAGAAGTTTTCAGCGACATTAAAATAATTTTTGGTGTTTTGTTTTTTATTCAGATGAATGGGTCAAAGATTTTGATATAGAAGACATTGAACCACCCACCAATACCAAGTGAATTGAAAATCCACCAATTGAACTTTGATAATGTTTAGATGTTTAGTTTTTTTCACGCCTGTCTTTATTGACTAGTGGAATATGCATGTTGATCATATAATAATGAACATTATTTTTTTTTTACATATATTTCTATATATAAATTAATATTATCATATTTTTAAGTTATTTTTATTGTTACACATATTTGTTTTGTGTCAAAAATAAAAAAGAACACTATTAACGTTGTATAATATTGCTTATTAACATTATTTCTTTGACCTTGTGACAAACACAAAGAACATGAAAAAAAAATTGATAACGAGAAAAAAATACAAATAGGTCATACATGGTGATTTGATAACAAATTAGGATATGTTCAAATAATACCATATTTTATTTCTGAAATAAGCTTCAATAGAGCAATGAAATATATATTATTTTACAAAAGGATCAGTCATAAGTGGGAGGAATAATGTGAACAACAGTAAAAAATAACAACATAAAAATTTTGTATTTAGAAAAACGGCTTACAAAATTATTTATGGAATCAATCTATATTTTATGCCATTCTTTTAAATTAGATAATTCCAATATAGGTTGTAGATTTCATAATTCTATAACTATTGCAGTTTTTTTAGAAAGTAAAATGTTTAAATTTATCACGTAACCTACTAACCTGAAACCAAACTGATTAAATTTTTTAGAATAAGCATATTTAAATTATTCAGAGCAATGAGTAGAAAATTTCCATTTTCTATTACCTTCCAGAAATGTAAAATTTGTGTTAATTAAATTTCTTATAAACATTCTTGGTTTGGTAGTTCTAAAATTTGTTTTTTTTTAATTTCAAAATATTAAGTTAAGTATTAAGTAGTTATTCCCATAAAAACATTTATTTTTAAATAATAAGTTACTGTAGCGCTTACAACATTTTTTTTTCTGGTGGATGCAGGGATTTTACAAATTAATTATAATCTTCCCAAAATGTCATAATATAGTTAATAGATTTTATAAAAGAAAGATATATTTTGGGAGGGTATTTACATCAAACGCTCAAACCCCATCTCAACAGTATTTACCACCTTTAATCCATATTTATTTAACATAGCTGCCTGGTATTCATATTAATTTCGCTGTTTTTGTTTTTAAGATTCTTACCAGAGGCGCAGAGCAATGAATGTATAATAATATACTAATTTGACTATGAATAACCATGTTCTTTTGTATTTTCCCGTTCTGCTGTATTTTTATTTTTATGAACTTTATTATAATTATATTATTGAATATCCATAAAAAATTTAATATATATAATTTAATATCTATTTTATATTTAAACATAGGTACTCATGTTAATCATTATATTATAAATTTATAACCATTAACATATTACATAGGTAACTCAAAATAGGCAGTCACTACTTCCACTTTTTAGTCTTAACCATGAATATGACTTTATTAGTTCACTAACCAGTTGCTATAATTTTGGTTTTTGATATTCAGACGAAATGTCAAATATCAACAAGGTCAACTTAATTTAGTCCATTTTACAATGTCTTACCCATGCTCATTTGGCTATTTACTATTTAGGTTATTATAGCTATTAATTATTGTAATTGTGCATTCTTTTAGTGTTTATATGTTAGTGAATAAATTATCTAGTGTTTATTATTTCCGACTTTCAAAGTCAACATTGGCCATTTGGGTAACGGAGTCAAAACTTATTAGTAATAAGCAATCTACCACAGTTGTCGTCATCTAACTGTAGTGTCGTATAAGCGAGGTATCAAAAAATACGCACAAATAGTTTTTACAATCAATTATCAAAGTTAACTTTAGTAAATATTAATTTATGAAGAAGCACGTTACACATACTATTATTAAAAATAACACAAAAATGTGTTTATGTATAAAAATTATAACATAATATTATTCTAGAAAATGTTTACTTACATTACTTAGGTATATGTAATGTGACACACTATTACAGAATAGTTGTAATATGTGCAATTCTCCTGGACCGCATTTTTTATCACATTCTAAAATATTTAACAACAGACCACAATGAGAATCTAAAAATGTCACAAACCTCCATTATAAATACAATGCGTTGTTCATGATAACATGAACCTAAAATAAGAAAATTTTATTCATTTAAATTTCTAAATAATTATTGAACAATATGTTGACCAGTTGTCATGCCTTTTTAATATGAATAATAATAATTATTTAAGGATTTTTTGTAATAATATTCTAATAATAAAAAAGTTACTAAGATGATAAGTAGGTATTTTTTTAATATTAAACTTTTAGAGAGTTTCAAAAAGCTAGAGAATTATAGCTAGTACAACAATTAACAAGCATAAAAATATAACGTACTTTTATAAGAAATGTATTTATGTTTTTTTATACATTCTGTAATAAGTATTAAATAAGCATCATTTTTGATTTCACTAAGTAGTGTGACCTATCAACATAAAAATAATTTCATAAGCAACTCTATTATGTGTGCATACAACATAATAATTCTCTACAACATATATCCGAATATGGCTCAGCTAGTGTTCACCGGAAGAGTCAATGTTTAGGTGTAAGTTTGCTTTCATATATTATTTTGGGGCTTAAATGTACGTTTTAGACTTGAATTAAACATAAAACATTTATTACCACGGCAACAATCCAAACGTCGTCTTCGTTTCACCACATCAAGTTTAATACGTCCCCATTTTGCCTATACTATACGCCGGGTAACACCTTAGGTTTGAGCAAAGTATTAAAATAGGTATTATTAATCTGTAATCTACAATATTTTGTAAGTGGAACACCATTACTGCTAATATTGTCTTATCATCATTAACAAATAAATTCAAATAATGAATATTTTAATAGCTTATAATATATAAGTATATAACTATTAACATTCATCGTAAATAGTTTTTTGTCGCTTATGCACTATAAAGCATTTATTTCTGAAAAATATTCCCAACAATTTAGTACAAGGATTCTCCTAAATAGATCTTACAGCAGCCTAAGTTTGTTACACATACCTACAAAATTAAAATGTTAAAAAAACTGTATATTTTAATGAGAAATAACTTATGATGTAGCTGGTACTTAATGCAAAACAATAAATTATTATTCGAAAACACAATTTCATACATACATATATATACAGGGTGTTTCTGAAGTGTGTGAGGTAATTAGTATACGCATACTCACTGTGATGCCACAATGAAGATTTTTTTGGAATTTTTTTTCTAACTTCAAAATCTAGGTTTTTTAAAGTTATTTTTAGAATATTATCTTGAATGTAAAAATAAACACTCAAGTCATATTTTTTGCAAAATTCTCATACGAATCGAGATATCGCATCATTTTTGCGTTTTTCGAGCTCGAATCGCCAACTAAAAAAAAAGTCGTACGACACATCGATTTGTATGAGAATACTGCAAGATAACCAGTGGTGATAATTATTTGTTGTCATTGTTAATACACGATTAATTAACACATTGTTTTACATTGTCGACTAATAAAAAATATGAAATAATAACAAAATTAGGGTTAACAGAGTTTTAAACGATCAAATTTACTAGCATACATTTGTGTGTTGTGTCAGACCTTTATTAAATAACTTTTAACTTTATAAAGTTATAATAGTTAGATTTAAAATAAATTACCTATTTGTGTGTTTATACTGAAATTCCAGTTTTTGGATATCATAGTACCTAACATAATTATTTTGACTCGATAAGATAAACATTTTATTTTATACTATTATTATTATTTGCGTTCTGCCCATAACCTAGCGGCAAGATTTCCATTTCCATCAGCTAAACCTATAGTCACAATTAATAAACAAATAAATAGTTTGTTTCGTATAACATGTCGGTTATGACAACTTAAAATAGTTACACGGGGAAGTTTTGTGATAAAGTAAAATACCTTAAGTTTTTAATAAAATAAATCACCAATGGGTGATATTAGTTAAATACTTAAAATAATTAATTAAATTAATTAGTACTTACCCAACATAAAAACCATGTCTGCATATTCAATGTTTGTGTACGCCATTGCGCAAAAATCAAAATTTAAATTAAAAACTTTAAATCTTAAAAATAAATATTAATATTTTAAATGTCGTTCAATGACAAGTATTGGACTCTATTCAGATTTCAGACCAACTAATGTTCATCATGTACTCTGTAAGGAGTACGGCCAATTAAATTTTAACGATAAAAGTATAATATTAGATTCACTAATAAATAATAATACTGGTATAAAATAAAATGTTTATCTTATCGAGTCAAAATAATTATGTTAGGTAGGTACTATGATATCCAAAAACTGGAATTTCAGTATAAACACACAAATAGGTAATTTATTTTAAATCTAACTATTATAACTTTATAAAGTTAAAAGTTATTTAATAAAGGTCTGACACAACACACAAATGTATGCTAGTAAATTTGATCGTTTAAAACTCTGTTAACCCTAATTTTGTTATTATTTCATATTTTTTATTAGTCGATAATGTAAAATAATGTGTTAATTAATCGTGTATTATCAATGACAACAAATAATTATCACCACTGGTTATCTTGCAGTATTCTCATACAAATCGACGTGTCGCACGACTTTTGTTTTAGTTGGCGATTCGAACGCGAAAAACGCAAAAATGATGCGATATCTCGATTCGTATGAGAATTTTGCAAAAAATAAGACTAAAGTGTTTATTTTTACATTCAAGATAATATTCTAAAAATAACTTTAAAAAACCTAGATTTTGAAGTTAGAAAAAAAATTCCAAAAAAATCTTCATTATGGCATCACAGTGAGTACGCGTATACTAATTACCTCACACACTTCAGAAACACCCTGTATATTATTTAGTAAATAGTAAATACCATGAGATTAAAAAAAAAAAACATATGATTACTTACTTAGTACAGGGTCTATGGATTTATCATATTACAGTGATGTGTGAAATGCTTTTTAGTATATTTAACCCAAAAACTTTTAACCGTAGCCCGTGGGTACTTTAAATTTTCACCAAATGTTAATATAACCATATTCAGTACATGATAAAGTTTTCAAAATAAATTAATTTTCATTAATTCTTTATTCAGTATATAAAGTATTTAAATGTTTTAGCACTA